GCATCATTCTTGCCATTAACATGAGCATAACTTATTTCCATGAAAATCTCTTCACCCTGAAGTGCTTTCCCAACTGAGCGGCGAGCCCCCGTTGCTGCCGTTTGCCTGCAAGTGGGTGATGGCTGCGGTTTTAACAGCACGCAGCGGCCATTAAGAGGCGAAAAAAAAAAAGGTGCTGAGTAAAAACAAAGGCTCTGCGGTTATATATTTCGCTTGGAATATTTAGAGAAGCAGCATGTGGAGCTTGCCCAGCGCAAAGGTTGAAACGTTGGTCTCTGGAAGTCGGCAGCAGGACCGTCGCTGTCTCTGTTAGAGCCGGGGTTTCCTCTGATGGCTCTGGTTCCCAGATTTTCAAAAGGGATAATGAGACTGAGACTCGACAGAAGCGATGGGGGTAAATGATTTAATGTACCTTACTACAAATTAATTGTGCTGGGGTTTCTTTTTGTTTGTTTCCTGGAAATATGAAAAGAAACCCAGGTGCGTGGGTGTGTTCTCTTTCCCGTATAGCACAAGTATCTCTCACCGTTAATAGTAATTAAAAAGGAGAACGAAACCCCCGCTCTCTCCTCCAAATAAAGGATCTTTTGCTTCTCTGCATGTAAAGTGGAGGACTGGCTACTCTGCAGCTTGCACTTTTTTTCCTGCTTGCTCTTCCAGTAAGGTCCCTATAATTAATAAGCTGCAAATCTCAGCTCGGCAGAGGCAGGAGGAGCAGGAAATCTACCTCAATCAGCCTTCCCTTGTATTGAACCTCCCAGGAAGCTTGGGAGGGGAGGTGCTGGTGCCATGGAAAGAGTCCCGTCTCCCCCCATCTTCTCCATTTGCAGATCTGCCCTAAAAAAAATGGCAGGAGGGATGGGAGGAAATACGCCGTTCACTGCTATCCTACGTCTGGCCGGCTCTCTTCAAGAGGTGAGCTCGGGGATATTGAGACCTCGGTTCAAGATTGGAGAAAGTGAGGGATAAAAGGAGAGAAAACTTAACTGAAGTCAGGGATGCAGCAAATGAGCCAATAAAAAATGCAGCTAGGAAAACGCTGACGTGCTTACTATACCAAGTAGTTTCCTACTCCAGGCATTACCCAGGGGGATTGCGGATTACAGATCTGGTAGAAGGATCACTGTAGCAAGTGAGCCTCTGCATTGCAGGTCATTTCATCCAGAAAATAAAAGCACTGCAGTGATACGGGGCCGGACTGGAGAAGGTAAGAAATCTCTGTGGTTGGCGGAGTTGAACTGGAACAGGCACGAGACGTGCGGTGAATAACCACCCCTCTCTTCACAGCAAGGAGAGGAGGACGATAACGGGTTCGCTTAAGCGCAGTCGCTCACCATTTCAGCACAGCAGCGTTTGTGTGCGGAGTCCGGGTACAATCGTATCGCAGCTGTACTTTCCTACACAAGCCGAAGAAAAACAGCAGGCAGCAGAGGCAGCAGGTCGCCAGGCTGTCGTTTAACATTCTGGAATGTGTTCTACATCCCAAGGGAAAACTCAGCCCTTCTCCCCCCTCAAAAATACACCCTGGAATTATTTTTATCTGTAGCAGACCACGATTTATTTGATATCACATACAGCAGACCCAGTGGGGGATAAAACTGAGATGGGCTGAGGGAATAAAAGTATCTCCCAGTAATTTATTAAAGCTATTTCTTGTATACAGCCATCACCGAGTTTTCTGTCTGACTATATGGCGCTGCTCTGTTTGAAAGCTGATGAGATTGTCGTCTGGATCGCAGAATCACAGACTGGTTGAGGCTGGAAGGGACCTCTGGAGGTCATCTGGCCCAGAGACGCTTGCCCAGGACCATGCCCAGATGGCTTTTGAATGTCTCCAAGGATG